ATAAAGATCCATCCCAAACTGCAATGAGAATGTGTCGTAAACAGATACATTCTCTTAACCTCACTTACGAGAAAAAATTTAATGTAGGAATCTTTTTAAGAGTCTGAGTGGTGAAGACTGAGGCTATTCCAGCTAAGTTAAGTCGTAACTCACTGGGCTTCTGCTGAGTGTCATTCAGGAGACGCAGTAACACACACACACACACAAGTTCTTTCAATAAACCGTTAATAATTATTATTATTATTATCATCATCATCACACACACACACACACACACACACACACACACACACGCACATTACTACAATTCCGGGGAACGTTTTTTTTCAATTTCACTGATGGTACACAAGTCTCTCTCTCCTCCGCAGTATATCTCAAGAGTTAACTAAGACAACAGGGGAGGAACGTAAACCGAGGTGACATAACACACTTGGGGAGAGAGAGCAGTGCACACACACACACACACACACACACACACACACACACACACACACACACACACACACACACACACACACACACACACACACACACACACACACACACACACACACACACACACACACACACACACACACACACACACACACACACACACACACACACACACACACACACACACACACACACACAGGTCATATAACACAATATCTCTCTCGTGTTAGGGTCAGCTGGGTTAGAAAGTAATGCGCTATATTTTGTCAGTTATTTCAACAAACGTCAGCTCCTCCTCACTGTAGGCCAGGTCAGCTCACTTTACGTTCACTGTGTCAGGTCAGCCTCACTGTGTCAGGTCAGCCTCACTGTGTCAGGTCAGCCTCACTATGTCAGGTCAGCCTCTCACACACAGCACCCAAATCACCTCACTACCTCTCCTCCCTCCTCACCCTCTACCTCACACTTAGTAAATTCCTCAAGCATAATTATCTATCTAATTATGGAGTAATTTGCCCGAGACACTGAAATGATTGGAGTGGGGGGGGGGGGTCGTACTCGCCAACCCTCAGATAGGATGATGGGGCCCTTGACTGACTTGACTGAAATCACCAAAGCCACGTCGTCGGTCGTAAAGTTTGAGAAGATAAAGGCTTATGGCGACCAATAAGACTTATATCTATAATCTATAACACTTATTCGACTCGTTATGGGACAGTTTTCGTCTTATCATTCGTAATAAAACTTTTTTTTTCACGAGGCATAAAACTCTCTTTTGGAAACATTTTTTTTAGAGGAGAGGAGGGGGGAGGGTCTTAAAATTTATTGCCCGAGATTAAAATGAATTCCGAACCGTGAGGAAAACTATCCCAAGGTCTCCTATCTCCACGTCACCTCTTCCTATCACCTACAACACACAGACACACACTAGTACTGAGTGTGTAGTGTAAACAAAACTCACCCGTCGTGTGTCAGTAATGAGCCGAACTTGACTACCTAACTTCCACCCCTCGACTGACCTGCCACACATCCCTTACTGATCATTAACGAGGGACTTTACCACCGCGTCGTCACCCCCTTCATCCTGACTTCTAACTAGAGGGTCGTTCTTATCCACCAAAGCGTTTTCTAGATGTAATGTATCTCTCTGACTTCACGTGTACATCTCTGACTTCACAATACGACTTCCCGTCCAGCTATAGAAGAGGGTGTAAGGCGGGTTAATCCAGAGATAGGGCGTGGTATAATGCTCGTATTGTTTTGATTGTGCTCTCTCTCTCTCTCTTCGGGCGAATATACTTATACTTGCAGACGTGTGTATTTCTCCTCCATTCAATTCTGTTAACTGTGTTACATCATCCCCCCCCCCCTTCACACACACACACCTCTCTAATATTCACACTCCCTCTCATCAATTAGCTGGGAGCATCTCAGAACACCGCCATATTTCATTTAATTAAAAACCCCAACATTCACTTTAATTCACGATATAAAACCTTCCCTCTTCCCCTTCCTCCTGTACGTGTTCAGATCACCACTACCAATAACAACACAACAGAAGAGGTTATATATTTCTTATCAAGGTCATATTATTACCCATTTAAACCATTATATTAACTCAGGGATCAATTACAGTAAACTGGTATATTGTTTTAAAGGTCCATTACTATACACGTGATGGTATATGCCTCCACACCTGGTGAGAGAAAAAGTAAAACAGTTCATTATCGCACAACATTACTCCCTTTCTCTAGCACCGCCACCGCCCGCCCCTCACCGCCTCACTCCTCCGTTAAAACATTTTTCCACTTTTATGATCTCATTCACAAGTTTTTCCTCAAGGTGTGCACTTTGGTCCATTTTTATTTTACCTTTTTGCAGCCATCTAGTCCTCACACCTCTCCTCACCTGTACACACACACACACACACACACACACACACACAGACCACTTACCATTATGTACACCTCTGTTGACTCCAATAATATTTACCTCATCTCACCAGACCAGTATACAACCACCCCCCTATCACCTGTTACTAGCGCCTCACCCCCCGACACAACCTCTCTCCCCCCTCCCACCACCACACACTCCCCAGCTTCCTCCCACTACCACCACACCATCTAAACTTTGCACAGCACTAACACTAAAAAACAACAACACAAACACACCTGTCAACCTGTCCAACTTATAATCGCCTCCATTACTGTTTCCTGATTTTTTTCCTCAGGTACATGTGTCGAGTGAACACCCCCACCCCTCCCCCCAAAAAAAAAATCTTCATAAAAAAAAATCTATAAAACTATAAAATTAAAAACAAATCGAAATTTTTTTGAAATGTTGAAATATTACCCCATACGTCTGTCAATTGCTCTAAGAGTTACCATCAAACACGAATGGGAAAAGTAAGTTAGATGTTGCAATTTTTCGTTAACTACAAATACATGCATGATGCTACACACACACACCGCCCGGGAATTTGAATATAAATGTTGTAAATGGCCTCACTCCTCTCTTAAACAACCTGTAAGAAAATGTCTGTCTGTCTGAGTTGTTTGTTCTCGCTGTAGTACAAGAATTATGACTCCCTCGGGTTTAAGTTCTCTTCCCGCAGCCATGGAAATGTATCCTCTTGAATAATCCGCAGCGGTGTCTCTCTTATGAGACAGACAGACAGACAGACAGACAGACAGAGACAGACAGACACACAAACACCTCCCCAACACGCCATTACTCTCTCCGCTTCTTTTCATTTAGCGGTGTGTCCCAGGCGAGATGACCTCCTGCACCCCAGTGTTAATGTTATACAGTACCATGTTATTTGTGAGGCGTGGCGGCCTGTACAATGACGTGAGCTGACGGTGGAGAGCTTCCGGGCCAGTCTAGGTGTATCCTCCCTCTACCTCCCCCCCCTCCTACTTCATGAATACACAGCCCTGAGTCACCCAACACCAGATATCTGTACACACATTATCTATAACAATGAACAAACATAAACAATATATTTCTACAGTATGTTTGTGTGGTAATGGTTGTAGATATAATCATTGCAGGAATACGTCTACCACACCCTCAAGGAGCCGACAGTTGACGCGAGGTTTAAGAGCAGTGAGAGACAGCTGCTTCTAATTATCCGCGTAATTAAAGCATTAGCAATTAAAAGTGTGAAGCTCCTCACACTCTGATCTCAACACAAGAATTACTGCAACACTTTTCGTCTGTTTTAACTTACATTGTATTATATACTTCACACACACACACACACACACACACACACACACACACACACACACAACACAACACACACACACACACACACACACACACACACACACACACACACACACACACACACACACACACCAGTAGATCAGGACATAAGGTGAAGAAATAAGTCCCCGTCAAACACTCTACCTCTACCTGGATCATAACTGGTAAGCCAACCTGGAAAACGCTGATGGTTGAATTTGGTGCAGAGTTGAGGAATAAATTTCACGTTGATACGCCAAGATATTGAAAGAGATAGAATTATGTAGAGGATAGCCAGACAGACACAGACAGGCGGGGGAACTATATTTACCCTACATTCTATGGCGGGGTCGTAAAGAAAGCCAGGGTCAGCAAGGCGAGGTGAGGCGAGTAGAACATATATTATTTTTTACTTCCATAAGAGACCTGCAACCCAGGGAGGACGGTGTGTTCTGTGTCACCAGCTTTTTACAGCCACACAAGACACCTCCTAAAAAGTGTGGACTCTCACTAATACGATATATCCACGGCTGAGAAAAATGGGAAATGTTTTGACGTGTGAAGTGAAACAATTTGTCCATAACCCGTAGTGTCTGAGGAGTTTTAGAGATGCACAGTCATTTTAAAATACCTTATCTTAATCTTTATCCTGCGAACACGAGTCAAAACACTACATACAAACACACACAAGACAACAGTACAGCTGAACACAAGACAAAAAATATCACCGAAAATAAACAAATCCTGAGTAAGAACATAAGTGACAGGATAAAGAATAAACTATTTCTCAAGTCTTCTCCTGCCCAGCCACAGAGCACAGCCTACTCGCCACACCACCACTACCGTCTGGGCCACCACGCTGATCACCTTCACGTAAACACCGACGGGCGAGGCGGTGCTGTCAAAAACACATCACTGAAACAACACCTCCACCCCGGACATGTTGTGGATGGCTTGAGTGAGGATATCCAAGAAAATTACTAAATATATACTTTGAGTTTCCCCACATCCAAGACAGAGAGCGGTTTTACAGGTGCGCGCCATTACATAAAGTACAATAATTAATACATTTGTTTTCCTCACCTCAGGATAATGGGGTACTGTAGAGGTGGTATACATGCTGTGTGAGTGTGTCCAGTGTGGCAGTTATGCTGTGGTGCTGATTCTTACTGCTGTCCAATATTCTCCTTGTGGGTGAGGGGCGGGTGGGTGAGGGGCGGGTGGGTGAGGGGCGGGTGGGTGAGGGGCGGGTAGGTAAGGAAGACTCACCCAGCAGGGAAGGGAGGGGTGGGTGAGGGAAAGAGAGAGAGACTCACCTAGGAGCGTGCTGTTGGTGATGATTCTGAGTATTTCGTTCATGATGGTCGAGTAGCAGCAGCAGGGAGGTGAGGCCTCCTCCTACCCTCACTCTCGCTACGGTTCACCTCCACCCTCGTCTGATGACAGTAACGGCCACACACTATACCTCACTTCACTCACTCACTTCAAAGTATTGTTCTCTCACTTCACCTTACTGCCCATCACACAAACTCAGGAGTCTAGTTTTCGTCTCCGTCAATGAGTACACTTGCTTCACAGTTGGTTCACTACGGGATGCAGCCTTCCCCGGCAGTGCACACATGCTGACTGCTGTGGATAAGCTTATACAGTACAAGGCATTACGTAGCCACACATGGGAAATAATCACCAGCAACATGACCACCACACCACATAATACTCCACCACACACACACACACACACACACACACACACACACACACACACACTAAATATTCCTCCAACCACAACTTTTTTCCGCCGTGTCAGTAAAACTTGGCCAACAATGAACATTTTCACGGTACAGTCTTCTCCCCCGCAAAAAGAACTTAACAATGTAAAGACCTTAATCAACCTTCCCGGCAACTTTTATAAAACTTGTTATAGTTGGAATACATAAAAGCCTTAGAACTGTCTGCCACCCACGTCCTTCACCCTGTAGGAACCCTCTGCTACCCCACGATCACTTTACACATATATAAAACCCATTGCCACCCACGTCCTCCTCCACCCATGGCTACCACCACAGGCCTTCCCACTACCCATGACCACCCTCACCACTCATGGCCACCCTCACCACTCATGGCCACCCACACCACCCGCAAGCACCCCTCACCTCCCCACCACTACCTCCACTTTACACAACAAACTTTTAACGCGGGGAAACTTGATTCTTGTCACAGCAGCAGGAACAGCGGCCGCCTCTCCCCAACACTCGCCATTCATCAACACACTGACTTACTCACCAAAAACTGCCTCCCTCCCTCCTCCACACATGGTCCAGGTAGATTACTAATGGTCCAGGTAGATTATTAATGGTCCAAGTAGATTACTAATGGTCCAGGTAGATTACTAATGGTCCAGGTAGATTATTAATGGTCCAAGTAGATTACTAATGGTCCAGGTAGATTACTAATAGCTATAAATTGGGCGTGTGGCTGGGAATGGGCGTGGTGAGTGACGGGAGGGAGGGAGGGAGGGAGGGCCGGCAACCTTCACTGAGTAACGGGCCGGGCTGTCCTACTCGGCGAGGTAAACTGACACTCACCAATTTATGCAGCCATAAGCTTACCGCCGTGACGCTCACAAACCCGAGGATATCCCACCTAACGTATATACTGTATATATACCTGAGGGTTTTACCGTCGTTATATTCCCCTCAGATCTACAGAGTGGGTGACGAGGCTGACGCGGCGCCACCACCACCTCCTCCCAAGGGCTCCCCCCCACCACCACCACCTCCCAAGGGCTCCCTCACCCCCTCTACCACCACATTTTTCTGTCCACCTCCATCTAGTCGGCCCTCCTCCACCCACCTCCATACAGTCTACCTTCATCCTTCCACCAAGTTTGGCTTCCCCACACAGTCTGACCTCCTCACTCAGTCTGCCCGCCTCACAACTACCCCTCCACCCACCCCTCCACAGTCGTATACCACCAAACAAGGGAAGTCCGTCGCGGTAACCAATTATAGTCTCTCAATCACATCATTACGGCGGCGCTGAAGGTTACACGAGGCCCCGTTATTACTGGTGACGGCGACCTGTTAAGCTGGGGAGTCATGGTTACTGTCGGAGCTCATGGGAGGTTAGGAATTGTGGAGGAAGGAGGGGATGGGAGGGGAGAAGGAAGGGGAGCAAGACGTCGTAGAAGAGGAAAGGAGGAGAAGGTGGTGGAGGAAACTGGGAGTAATTTCATGGCTAAGGGGGGGGGGGTAGGAGTGGGGAAAGTGAGAGGGAGAGGCAAGCAGCTTCGAGGCTCAATATCCACACTCCATCTATCACCGCCGTGTCTCAGCTTCTAGGACACAGCATCCAGACCCCATCCACCTCCCCCTACCCCCTCCTCCACATCACCCAACACAGCCGCCTACGTTCTCGCCTCCAGAGATTTGCTTAACGACCTTATAAACAAACAGAGCGACAGCGTAATACAGTCTAATGCGAGATACGACCCACCAGGCAACTTCACTTTAACACAGGAAGTAAAATGTTTCCCGAGCAGCAGCCGGAGGACAAGTGAGTGATCGGTTGAGAACGGCGGAGTGAATGAAAAGAGGAGATGAAGTCACGGTGAAAATAACGACCATAAATCACATAGTTTCTTTACTGTTATTCTATATTGAGACACGCTTGGTGGTGGTGTGGTACTGGTATGGTATTGATGGTGGTGTGATGTTGGGGTCACTGTACCACACACACACGGGTCAGTAAAGAGTACAGTCATCCGCCCGTGATACAACTTTCAGAAACGAGTCAAAACAAACCACTGGAGCACACAACACAAGAGTCTGAGAGTGGAGAAGTATCCCGTCACACCACAACCAAGTGTAGGAACTAAGAAACGGGAAGATAGAAAATACTGAAATCTTCTTGTGATAAATCTCAACACTAAATTAAAATCCCTCGTTACTTATTAAGAGTTACTGTGATCATAACTCCCCGACGGACGGATGAATGGACGGAAGAACGAACGAACGGAAGACCGATCTAACGGACGGGCACAGACATTACCTCTCACTACCACCGTCTCTACAGCCACATTTAACAGTGTTCACTAAAGGTTTATGAATCTATAACTCTAAACTAATGAGCCGTCCACGCCATCTACACACACACAGGGAAAAACTCTTAGAATTACTTGTAAATGATGGCAATAATTCTCACAAGTTGGCATATGTAACAGTTTATCCCTTACCAGTGGTTAAGGTCAAATGTGTCAGGAGGGTTATTCAGGGCCCAGGTCTACCTTTAACCCTTTGAGTCCTGGAGGGTTAAATCATCCTCCTCAAAGGGTTAAATCACCGTCCAGAAGTTGGTACAGTGAATACTACTCAAAGGCGAAGAGACAAGAATGTACTTGACCCCTTGAGTACGAAGACGTAGTCCCTTCACTCATCGTACTCAAGGGGTTAAAGTTACCAATCTAAGCTAAAGACAACATCCAAAAATAACAACCAGATCATAACAAGACTCGAAACTTTAGGAAGATTATCTTAGGTGAAGAAATTCTTTTAGTTAATGTAATTTGAGTGTTATAATGGCAGCTCAGTGGAGGTAGCTAGTTAAGGTAGAGTCTCAGTGGAGGTAGCTAGTTAAGGTAGAGTCTCAGTGGAGGTAGCTAGTTTAGGTAGAGTCTCACTGAAGGTAGCTAGTTAAGGTACAGTCTCACTGAAGGTAGCTAGTTTAGGTACAGTCTCACAGTCTCAGTGGAGGTAGCTAGTTAAGGTAGAGTCTCAGTGGAGGTAGCTACTTAAGGTAGAGTCTCAGTGGAATTCTCACGTTATCTGTAAGTCTAAGATAAGCAGTTAGGTCACAACGCTACAACCCACAGACTCACAACACACTGCTTCAAAACGCCACACGCCACCTCACACCATCACCACCTCACAACACCACCACACTCCACCTCACAACACCACCACACGCCACCTCACGACACCACCACACGCCACCTCACAACAATCGCTTGAAGCTTACGGATAATTCACTACTATGACGTCACCAATAATAATAATGAAGGCGTAACGAGCACCCACCAGCGGCAGTATCCGGCAGTAATCACTGGGGCGGGGAATTAAACAATACATCATGACGTAATACTAATAAAACAACGCTAAATAGTTGAGAGAGAGAGAGAGAGAGAGAGAGAGAGCGAGAGAGAGAGAGAGAGAGAGAGACCACCGTCACTACCACCACCAACATCCCACATCCTCGTCCCAGCCAGCAACACAAACAAAAACAACACAACACAAGGCTGTTTTCTGCAACACAAAACCAACTGCGTGTGATGGATATTTTAATAATTCAACCATCTGTTACGAAGCCGAGACAGGTATTACACGCACTACGCTCTAACAATGTGTTCCATTTGTCGAGGTGTTGGAAGAGTGGGGGAGGGGAGGAGGGAGGGAGGAGGGAGGGAGGGAGGGAGAGGGAGGGAGGGAGGAGAAAGGAGGGAGAGAGGGAGGAGAGGGAAGAAGGGAGGGAAGGAAGGAAGGAAGGAAGGAAGGAAGGAAGGAGGGAGGAAGGCAGGGGAAGGATTGATGCTTATAAACACACACACACATCTACCTTAACACGTCCATAGCCCAAACCTTCAGGCAATACATACATCAATCACTAACAAGTGTTCAAAACAACCACCACTACCACAAACCTCTACCACTATTCCAACGCTCGCTCGCTTCTTGCTTTTTGCTGCTTGCTTGCTCTCTCTCTCTCTCTCATCTAATTATATAAACAAAATTTATAACGCGCCCAGAATTATTACGAGTTAGGGGCCCTTTTAACCCCCACCCCCACATGAGCCGACACCAACGTAAACTTTCCTAATAACATGATTCCCAGGCGATATGCATTGGCGGAATTTTGTGTTGTGTTGTGATTATAGCTGCTCCACCCCCACCATCCTCCACCTCGCTTTCCTTCCCACCAATTCCATCTCCTCTCCTCCTCCTCCTCACCATCACTTCCCTCCCGTCTCTTTTCACAACCTAACCTTCCCTCTCCCCTTCCCTGTCTCTCCTCACCACCTCTTCACACTCCTTTCCTCAAACCACTCCTCTCCTTCTCTTCAACACTTCCCTTCCCACCTCCTGTGTTGTTAGGGTCCCTGGGTACCGTCTGCTGGCCCGAGTGTTCACCATGCCTTCGACTTCGTTAAGCCTTCGTTAAGTTCATTGTTCTGTATAACTCATTTATACAGTACTTGTGTATTTCATGACCATTTTGTTTACATAAATAAACAAATATCCCCCTCCCTAGCCTAACACCCCACCTCCCTTCCCTAGCCTAACACCCCACTCCTCCCTCCCTAGCCTAACACCCCATCTCCCTCCCTAGCCTAACACCCACCTCTCCCTCCCTACCCTAACACCCTCCCTAGCCTAACACCCCATCTCCCTCCCTACCCTAACACCCCTCCCTACTCCTAACACACAACGCCCCTCAGTCTCCACCACCAACAGAGGCCAACACACAAATCTCTTCAGTGCGTCAGAAGCAAGTGCCAAAAGTCTGTACTATACGTTGTGGCTCCCTGCAGAGGAAATAAATACA